AATAACTATATTTTCAAACAGGAAGGAAATACAAATTTTTAGCATCACTAAATGACAAATCAAGTTCAGGACAATATTCAAACCTTCCTGGCTACAGTGGTGGAACAGCAAGCTGGGAACACAAACCCCAAATACCAACTTTCAATCACACACATTACAAATTATTATGCAACTAAATATTACACAACCTGTAAGTGTCTAGCAATCCTTGCTTAAAATCAAACTATGAATTGAAAATACTATAAAAACCCCAAGAATATTTTAAAATCTCTGAAGTAGAGATAGAGCTCTGACCAATCATATAGCACCCCCTGGCAGACAGTGCTTAGAGTCACCTGGCAGAAACTTTCTGCAATTTATCTTTCTATTCCATATTAAAAGAGAATGCAACTATTGAAGAAGAGAATTAAAAAGGAATATATTAGCAAATGAGTTAACCCACAGGAATTCAAATGATCTTGTGAAGAATTCTGTTGAGCAGTTGCTAAAATAAATGACACAAATTCAAACAGGAAGATGAAAATTAATTTCTTTTTAACAAAGCTATTTTAAATGACAGATTAACACCCCTTAGGCTCGTGTTGGGACTAAAATACTACTAGAGATCGCTTCCATGTTGCCATACTCTGACAGAAACAAAAATGAATGGGGGAAGGGGGGAAGGCATTTAAAAGCATATTTAAAAAATAACCTATCTCTTAGAGCACTATTCTACAGATCTGTTCTTTCCAACACAAACTCAGGGTAAACTGCTGCTGGACACAGCATTACTTACTGCCTCCTGCAAGAATTCTTGTTTTTCATCAAGCAGCTTGGAAGCCTTTCATTCAAAATGCCTCTGGGCACTCTGGCCCAACCATTTTCCTGGGTACCTTACAGCCACTCTCCTGGCTGCACTCAGCTGCTCAGATTTCAGAACAAAAAGCAACCCTGCTGTCTCCAAATCCAGGGAAGATTTACATCACGTATTCAGATTACCAAGCTTCCTAACCAAATCCCCAGAACCCTCCAAATCTTTCATCCTCCCCTAGAAAACAAAGGAAACATGGTCTGAGCCACTGACCTGAGCCAGGGCCTGAAATTCATAGCACAGTTCCAGCAATACAGCAAGTGTTTTCTCAATACAATAATAATGAAGTAATGAGACAATTGGGAGTGAGATTTGGGGTTTTGGAGGAGAGGCAGGCAATACTGGTAGTCAGGGAGACACACAGTGTCACTAGAAATAGCACAGTCTGCAGTACACTCATCCAGAAGAACTCTCCCTCATTAAAGAATCCAAGCAGCCATAGGATAAACAGGAATTTCCTTGCATGCACACAGTTTAAAAAAAAATAACGTACAAGTAAAGAAATGGTCTGTTACAAGCAGAATTTCAAACCAATCCATAGCAGCCCTGAATCTGTTGAATAAGATGTGATTTTACTGATAACACAAAGTTATTCAAGGTAATTTGAGAATTTAACCAAAGAAGGATTCTGAGTAGGATTCTGACAATGAAGCAGCAGCTTTTATTCAGCAAGTCTCAAAATAATGACAATGAGGTAACTCAGAGTTGTAAAGGTTTTTGCAGGTGCTGGAAACTAATATGGATTCAAAAGGAAACAAAAATTTCATGTCAGAAAATGCCACTGTTTACTTTCCATATATGCAGGAGTCACTAAAATATCCAGAATTTAGAGTCTGGAATAATGTAAGGGATAGAGGAAGGGAAGTAAATACTTGCTGTGTTCTTACATCCTTTCTTAAGCATCTTATTTATGGCTACTCTTGAACTGCAGTTCACAAGTTATGAGGATTCACTGCTGCTGTTTTTGTTCTTATATAACATTATTCACTGAGGTGCTTACAGTCACTTCCACATTGTCAGAGTTACAAGTTTGCTGCATGAGGAGGTGCCTTCCTTCTCTTTGCTTTAAAGACTTAACATTGCAAGCAAATGCAAGATGCTGTCTTATCTTACACCATGTTATCTTCGTCAAAGATAATTTCCATCTCTTATAGGCTGAGTTGATAATTTCAGATAGAAGGGGTTTGGTTATTACTGTGCAGGCAGAGATATTGGCAGTTGAGGATGGACCTCAAATTTACGCTGCATATTTAAAGTGTACTTTGGATTTTTTTTAGAGACTCCAGTGTACAGTAATTCAGCACTTCTAAATTGTAATTACACCTTAACTCTTGGATTACACTGTCAAAGCAGTCTCTGTAGCACAGGGCAACAAAGCACTGGGATAAACCAGTATGGGCTCTGTACTGGCAGCCTCTAGTTTGGGCAGGGATTAACAAATCCAGATTCCTTGCAGACTGTGGGCAATACAGACAGATCACATTTCAGGTGCTTGGTTTTTTTAAAAAGCACCTACTTTGTACACTGCAAAGTCACCAGGTTTCTACAAATGCTAGAAATCCCATTTCCTTACACACTTAACAAACCAAAGAAGACAAAGCACACGAGCCTTGACAAAACCTGGATGTAATTCAGCAAGTAACATGCTTAGAACATGCTTCCAGTTTGGTGCTTAGGTACTTTGATAGTTCTGAGAGAACTCTGGAGCATGACCACAAAGCAGATTGTGACACTTTCTTTGATACTGATCCCAGGGAAGCTCCATCCCTGCAAACCAATGCCACAGCCTAACTGACACCAGCTAGAACATTCTCATCTCAGGTCCAAGAAAAAGGAGACAGAATAAGACAACTTCAAAAATATGTTTTCCATGTGCAGCACAGAGAAGCCAAAACATGTACACAGTTGTCCCTGCCAATATTTACTGCAAGTACACATCTAAATTTGGATTAGAGGCTTTTGAAGGAGATTTGGTTTTTTGTAAATAAGTTACTAAAGATATTTTCCCGATGTTTGGCAATTAGTTCAGTTCTTTCTTTTACAGAGCTACTCAGAAGATACATGATGTTTACTTCATTTACCCCCAGTTCTCCAGGCAAACTTCAGCAAAGCAATGGCAGCAAGCACAATCAAAAAAAGTCTCGCTTTTTTTGAAGATTGGCACATTATTTAACAGAACAGCTGACTTCAGTTGAGATCTCTTTGTTGCTTGGAAACAACATTCTATTTGATTGTTTCTTAAGCATATCGAACTTTCCTTTCCATGGTAACATTGGATAAATTTATTTTGGCTTCTTAAATATTACCTGTGAGTTGCCAATTTCTTTTCACTTGTAACAATCCCATTTTCCAATCCCACTGACCAGAGGTCAATGAAGTACAAGATTTACTTAGCTAAAGACTGGGACAGGAATCAGTGTAACATTTTCTGGAACTGATTCTTCAGGTTCTTGTTTACTCTTGCATTGTTTTTTACAAAGGGAAAAAATCCCAGATGTACTACCATTAATAACTATACTGCAAAATTCACTTGTCAGTTCTGGTTGTTTCAACTGTTTTATTGCAAATTGTTTTCCTAAATAGAAGTATGCTGAATATACTGCAGAGATAAAATGCAAGTAGTGGTCTATTGGAGCAGGATTGTGAAAATCCATTGGCTGGGATTATTTTTCTGATGTTTTTCCAATATAAATTCATAGTATGGATTAGGCCAATCAAACTAGCAGTGGCCATCCTTATTTTTAAACTGTAATGTGCATATTTGTTCTGACTTGGGTACATTGTAGCTAGCAAACATATCATCTGCCAATTAATGTCACAATCCAAACACACTGGTACTAGAAACACTTGAAATCTGTGCATGCAAACAGAATTAATCAAGGCACCTTCTTTTTGAACTATCTCCTGCATGTAAATAGCCTTCCTCCCCCGCAAAAATCTTCAAAGCATTATTTAGTGGTTTTACTCTTTCTAGAGTCACAGAAATAAAGGTGTTCTGCTCAACTCAGCACTACAGTAGTTCTGCAAATGCTGTTTTGGAAAGCAGCTAGAGCAAAAGTTTCAGTCATGTGGAGCTAGAGATCAACACTTTCTCTTCAAAATTAAAAATGTCATGAATATATGTGAAAACCAGTGCAATCAAAACACTGCCACTGTTTCTGGGGTTACACTTCAGCACTGAGCATCCACAATTCTGAGTTGCAGTTGCTAGATATTTACCTACTTTTAAAATTAGACCCAATAAAAGGCTTAATGGGAGCCCTGGCTTTCAACCTCTGATCTAGGGATGGGTCAGGTATTTGAAGGAGTAGTACTGTTTAATATAAAATGAACATTCCTAATCTTCTGTGTTCTCCTTCTTTAGGCACTAACTTCTGATTTTTTTCCTGCATAACCTCAACAGGCAGCACAGGGCATGTTCTCACCTAAAACAAACCACAGACTGGTAGTTATGGCACTTTCCAAAAGGGAAGAGGGCTGAAGAACAGAAAGAAGAGAATCACATCCTCCTTCCCATTGGGTAAGTGCATTCATTTTTAGCCTAGTCCATAGATGAAGTACCAATATAACATACTCACTTTTTTGACAAGAAGCTTTTCTAAGAAATTAAGGTTAATATACAGTATAGTCCAAGTCTGTTTTCTATAAGATTAGGTGAAGTGAAGCCTTAGGTTAAGAAAAAAGGCAAATTACTTTGACAGCTTGTTTAGACAAGAACAATTCTGAACAAAGACCCAGAGATGGGTGTAACTGCACAGTCTCAGAGACAAACTGGCACCTGCTGCATTTTGATACACAGCTAGTTGGTGCTGTTAGGATCCAAGATGGATCACAACTGGAGACTTGTAGGACTGAGCTTTTAAAGAGCCTACATTTTAGTTAAAAAGAAGTCCATCCTTGGATTTAGTTCTAGAATCACAGAATCACTTAAATTAGATGTTGCTAAAATGCAGCTAAAGTAATAGTTGACAATTTTTTTCTATTTAGACACTTATCAGAAAATTAGTAAACTTAAACAACCCTTATAGACCATAACACCACAAGCTAGCTGAACGTTCAGAACAATGAAATGATGCACACCTCAAAAGATGAGGCACCATTTAAAGTTACTCTGTCCTGTTCTTCCTACTGACACCACCAGTTTACTCACTTGTAGCCATGATACCTGGAGGACATGCTGGTATCCCGTGATCAACTGCCCATCTGTAAGCTCCTTCACCAACTAAAAAGCTAGGAGACACAGAAGAGGGAGTTTAAACAAAACCATATAACAAATCCCCCTTTGCTTGCAATTATTTTTTTCTACTTGGTTTGGTCAATTTTAAATCATAAGCTGTCTATATTTCACAGGACTGTCTGCTATTAATTACATTTGGCAAGCTTATGTATTTCATTAAAAGATTATGCAGCTCTGACATTAAATTTATTACTGGACAAAACCAAGTGCTAATAAATTTGAAATTCAATACAAAATCAGCTTTCAACTGCAGCTAAAACAGGACAGAGCTGTCTCAAATCTTGCTGTCTATAACAACTTTGCAAGATCCTGAAGACCAAAAGCATGGGATGAGAAAGGTGAGAATGGTATTTCCAGTAAAGCCAGTCAGTGCCAAAGGAATACCAAGCAGTATTTTGAGAAGCACAACACAAGCTAAAAACTAACTTTATTTAGAAGGATTAAGGTCTATTTCATGGAGTTTCATCAATCACTTTCAAATGAGACCAGCCCACTAAATTTTAATTTTAAACATACTTTTAAAAAACCTCCAGCCATCTGAGAAGCTGTTTTCTACTCAGTACTGAACACTTTACCATCATGAGACAGTACACACTGCTGTGACAACAAACAAGAGCAAAAAACATACACACACATGGAACTTCCAGGCAGAGAAGAAAAAGCAAACCTTGTTTCCCCTTAAAGAAATTAATCTTATTGCCAAAAAAAAGGGTATGGTAGTAGCTGGAAATGAGACACTTGCATAAAGCTGCTGTGCAACACAATAAGGGACAACTACTTCCAATCTTATTTCAAAAATGGACAATGAAGTTAAGAATAACACAACTGCCTAATGGACACCAGAAGCAAGGACTAAGAATTTTCAGCAAATTGGGAAAAGTTTCACTGAAATGCCAGAGTTAAGAAGATAAGTCTAAATAAGTTATTCCAGCTACAAAGTGGTCCCTGGGGCTATGCAGCTCTCTCAGTTTCTGAGAACACTACTGATATAGCAAATTTGTTGGCATTAATGCTGCTGAAAGTTTTCTTGACAGTGCTATATCCAACATCAAGCTTTTACTATATAGTATTTTGTGGTGGTATTTTCTATCTTCTATATGACTTAACCAATCCAAGAGGTATGCCCAGTCTTTCTTTACTGAAGTCTCAAAAAAGGTTGATTTAAATGAGAATTTGAATTGTTAAATGCATATTTCTTACCATTGTTAGTGCAGCTTCAGGTAAGAATTGTTCACATTGCAAGATACTGCAGGATAAGTTATTGGGGACTTGGGCAGAACTCAAGCATCTACTGTTACATAAGTTACTGCTCAAGAAACAACCTGGCACTGACACATAACATAAAAAAATTTTCAATATTAACATAAAAAGGTATGCTAACTGCAGCCAAACCTAATTTAGTAGTATTCTTCATTTTCTAAAAGAAGGTGGGTTTGGTATTTATTTTTGGGAAGTAAATAAGTACTTTTCAACAAAATAATTTACACAGAGAGAAGTGTTACGTGGGAAAAACATCAAACTCAACAGTGGGAGTTGATATATGGTAACTCAAGCACAGGTCAGTCAGAAATAGTGTTTTACAAACAGATTCAGTTGCCTTTTCAATATTTAAAACCAGAAAATGTCACTAGTATTTTATGAAGAGTGCAAAACGGCACCTAAGAGCGTCTCCTAAATGTGATGTGACTTTCAGTTTGTTCAAATTTCCTTAATCCTTAGATTCCTTTCCCTCCCAGAACACACTAAAACACAGTTTTAGTTCCAAAGAGTCTTTAAATCAGACCAGAAAACTGAGGCTCCACATCACCACAGAGATCATCCACCTTTTTTAAACTGTTCAGTTTGGATCTCTAAAGGACACTGTAATCACAGAAAAGTTAAAATAAACTGTTTACAAGACAAAGAGCATCAGGATCTGAATGCTTTGTTGTCTGCACATAAAAACAAAACTACCACCAAGCTTGATTTATTGGGGGAGAGGGAAGAGGGAATAAAGCCAGTGCACTATAAAAAGCAGTCAAAACCACCCGAAGTTTCAAAAGCCTTCAGGCTAATTCAAAATACAATCTTCCAAAGGGAGGGGGAACACAAATACATAAACAAAGGATAAATGAGTTTATTCTCTGCTACTCTGAAAGCTGGGTCTGCACAAATAGGACATAAAGATCTTTCTTGCAAATATATCAGAGTACTCTGTAGTTCTTACAGGCTCAGAACACAGAAGATTAAAACACCCTCCCAGCAAGGAGGTGCTGCTCAATGTGCTTCCCAGTTCCAGGCACACTAGGTCATATTAATAGAAAATATAAGTAAAGGCCTCTAAAATAGTCTTTTTAGGCAATTTTCTCCAAAAACATGATTATGCTGGTGCTGAACACTCCTAACAGGGGCATTTAATATGGGCTGTAGGGAAACAGGCTGCTCCAAGCTAAACAGAAATGTCAGGAAGTTTGGGTCATGGTCAAGGTGATCCACATATAATAAATACAGTTTGTAACATTTAATCATAAAACGTAGCAATCACTCTGAAATCAGTGTTATAAAGAAGAAATTGTTCTGAATAAACACAGAACAGGGATAAAAGGTGGGGTCTCCTCATCCTGGGAACTCTCGCTAAGCACTGCCCTACTGGCTACACAATGTTCGTATCCTGTACATAAACAGGGTAAAGCTGTGCAGAAATTACAAATCTCTGTATATCCCAAGGGGAAACCTGAGGAGGAATTCTTTCCCATATAGTTATTATTGAGAAAGGGATATGGACATGGAGTTAATGGCAGCACTACTAATTAGTTCTAAGAAAGGAGACATTTAGGCGCATTTGTGCTGCACTGCAAATCTTACCAAATCTTACATTTAAGAGCAGACAGATGGAAAGAAGCTTCCTTCCTTAGGTCAAGGTTTCACAGTAGGAAAGAGAAAATCTTCAAGCTTATTACTACAAAACATCTAATCCATTACTCTGTGCTCAAACACCACTCCCAAAAGTTCATCCAGTTTGTAACCATGCAAGTACAAAAGTACTTTCCTTTGTAAAAGTTATACAAAGAACAAGAATATCTTACAGGAGACTATACAATATTTACAAGTTAAATATTTTCTGTCCCTTCATCAGAGAAAGTCCTGACAACACCAAGCTGAATAAAGTATGACAAAAGATGTCAGGACCTCAAAGGTTTTAACAACTGCACCATGCATCCAGAGTTTCTCTAAACTTTATAAATTCTATTTGGATAATGGGATTCTGTGTTTTAAATAACACAACAAGAGATTGATCCAGAAGGACACACTCTACAGAGCAATTTACAGCACTTTAGATGCATCAGTTCAGACACTTGATCCCTCCATCCCAAAAAGCTTACCATCTCTGAATATCTTAATTCTTACTCATTGAAACTTCTCTGTGGAAAATCAGAAATATACCACTTGGAATTGGTTTTGAACTGCCACTATGAAAATGTATGCTGCACAGGGGTAAACAGGCCAAGCAAACTATCTCCACTCTCCTTTTACAGTGAAAGAACTCCCTACTGCCACTTTCACTAACCTCACAGCTCCTGAATTTTTCCTGTTTGGTCATGGGCCAAGTATTTTTGGCAGAAAACATTAAGCTAGCTTAGATCATGCTATAGAAAGAGTCTGTTCCATAGGTTTCTTTAGGCAGGTTCTTAGGCCAAGCAGTATCTGGAAGATTCCCTAATGCACTACACGCCAATGAGACCCAAAATGAAAATTGTGGATTTTTACAATTAAAAATCACTTCCTAGGAATGACAAAATATGGCTAATCTCTTCTCATTTGACTCTAAATATTCCCAGCTTTGGCAGGGATATATTTCAGTCCCAAAACAATGTGTCATGCCAACCCCAGCCAGAAAGGCAAGACATGAAATCCTCCATTCCATCACCTTTAGGGCACATGAACTTTGTCATTCTGACCTTGGCACACCCTGTGTGTATGGAAGCATCCACCACAGTGAGCCCAAAGCATAACCCATCATAACCCACTAGTATAGACTGTTTCCAGGGTAAAAAATCTGCCATAATAAAATGTGCATTCAAAATCCAGAAGGGGGAAAAGAGGAAATGAAAGTATTTGTCAGGTAACACAAGTGCACAATATTGGCACAATAAACTGCATGCCTTGGTTCCATCTCTCACCTCAAGATTTGAGGTACCCTGCCTTTAAAAGCATCTGCTAATCCTGCACAGTCCTCAAAAGATGTAGTCTTGCCCTTGGTGGGGGCAAGGGGATATAGTTCCTTTTCCACTCAGTATTTTTAAAATAATAGCATCATAAACTAGGTCATAAAGTCACAGCATAATATCCAAGTGCTCTTCCTTACAATAATTCTATAGAACAGTGATGATACAAGTAAAGCAATCCCAAGAGCTTGCTCCTGTAGCTGACTTCAATAAAACTTGTGAAACACCAAAAAACACATTTCACATTCTAATGTAGCTCATTTTCTCCTGACAGCTAAAGAAATGAGCAGCTTACAGCTATTGAACATAAAGTTCCTATTCTTTAGTAAACCTCTCCACAATTACTCTGTTCTTTATCCATTAAAGAAAAGCGTTTAAAATGCAAAATTCGCCTGTTGACAGTTAGATTTCAAGGTGGCTTTTTTTGATCTATGAACTTTTTTTGCACATGACAGAACACTGAAATCCTCACTGTTTACATTGGAATATTGCACCACCCAGCTACAAGCTACTTGGCTAACTTTACAGAACACCAGAGTCAGGAAAGTAAAATGTGTAAACCTAATACTTACATCTTTTTAAACTACATAAATGCTGGTTTAATACTTTTGCAAATACTGACCACTAGTTGGCAAAGGGCAGTAAATTCTGCCACAGGTATGACAACTGATGATAGCAGTCAATGAATAGGAATAAATTATTCAAGTTCTCTACCTGTAAATTTAAACTGCTAATGAAAATAAGGTGTTTTAAGAACAATCAACTCTGACACGTCTTGGATTCTTTCCAAAGTGAGGCAGTAATATTTGGAGTTACTCTGTGTTTAATACTTACCTCTTCCATTTAAGTTTTAGGGACTGCTTGTTTTCATTTTGTTGTAAATATTATTAAATTTATCCTTAAAATAAGAGAAAGTTACTAAATGCTGCACATTTCCACAAAGCCACAAAGGCAGTAAAATAGGAGATTTTTTTCTATAGTTATTAAAAACTGTTGCTTTTAGTTAAAGGTAGACAGAGGCAATGGCAGTAGATTTCCATTTAATCTTGATGTTTTTGGGTGTTTTTCAAAAGGCTACAGTAACAAACATAAGCATTAAATATGACAACTGGAAATAATCAGACAGACAGAAATTATCACAAAATGATGTTGCCATCTATAGCTAATACTTCTTTCCACTCAGTGCACAAGAAGTCTCAAGATGAGAGAACAAAGCTTATCTTCTTTTTAAAGAGACACTATCACTGGTATGTAAAACAGCACCAGCCTTCCTGGGTGAGATAAAACCTTCAAATATTGCATATACTCAGTAGAGATGAAAGACCAAAGGAAAGTCAAGCAGAACAAAGCAATTACCAAGGTGGAATTCTGCCAGCAGAGAGTTTCCCCTTCTGCCCTTCACACAACAATCTATTTGCAACCGAAACTGGATTCTTGATTCCTAAAAAAGAAAAATTAGCAAAAAACGGAACATTAAAATATTTTCCCTCATGGCACTATAGAATTCATTTTGGCAGGGGATTCCTTTAATTTCTCAGAACCCTTTAATTTTCAAAAACCATGACAGTTTGTCAAGTAATTAAGAGACACCTTATGCTTCAATGTAGTAACAACATTTTCAGTTTTCCCTTCACATGCTGTTGGTAGTGACAAATCCTTCCAGTCAACACCTCCCTCACTTTTTTTTAAAAGAAAGAACAAACCATATTGAAATAGGAGGAGTGATCTCCTACCATAGAAATCTCATGTAAAATCTATTGTATCTAAGGGTCAAAGATATTTATAAGCATTAATTTTTCCAGGTGGAATTTTCATTTGGATCTATCTGGCCAGAACAGAAATCACAGGACTCAGGTTTACCTGTCTCTCATTCTCAATCTCCTCCTTCCCCATGGTTGGAAGGATACATCTTGTAACAAACAAGGCTTGAAACATTTAATTTTACTATTTATTTTAGATTTATATCTACATGAGGAAGCTATTACCACAGTTTAGAACTATTGTAGGATAAAGAACAAAACTTGAAATCTTGTCAGAGAAGCTGTTCAATAGTAACAGCTAAGGCTGTTCATATACTTAGAATGAAGCCTCAACAATTCCTCTTTGGGACTTGATATCTCTATTTGTTTTACACTGAAAGCTAAAACTAGAAAACAAGAGAGAAACACATTAGTTCTCATAATAAAAAAGTCCCATATGCAAATAAATTGCCTGGGCAAAAAACAAATAAAAAGCCTAATTTAAATACTTGTAATACTTCTTAACAACGGAATTTTTGAAAAATTATCATTCTTCAAATTCATCTCAGCAAACTGAGTCCCACTGTGAATAGTGTGTGGTGTCACACCATTGTGCTATGTCAAAGGATGATCAGTGAACTAACAAGAAATTAACACAAAGTTCCACAAAGAAATTAACACAAAGCAGCATTTCAGGGAGCAGGAATGCCTCCTCCTTTTTTAAAGGAGCAAAATTTATTTAAACACAGCAGAATTTACAATGTGTCCCCCTTCAAATCAGTAACAAAAACCCCAAAATTGATCTTGGCACTTAAATCAGCAGTTAGCTTTATAATATATAATGAACATACCACTCAGTGCTCCAACAGCTCCAAAATTCAATGACTTTCCATCCATTATACTGGCATCACATTCTATCTCACCCAGAAGGTTTAGGTTAGATCCCAATCCTGCATTTGTAAAAGGAGAATCCTAAAAATAAGAATAGAACACTATAAGGCCACATCCATAAGAGACTAGATTTAAATCTCTGTGTAACTGATCTGATGGCACTGATCTTGGTGCAAAGCATTTTCTTATTTTAGTAATTTCATCTTCCATAACAAAAACAAGGGGAATTTGAACAGAGCATCTAAAATTACCACAATGGACAGCTTTCCCCTCTATAGGGTGTGATATACCTCAAATGTAACAATGCACTAATATAAAAACCAATTACAACATTTAAAGATGATCATTTCTGTGCAAGCAAAAGCCTTACAAAACAAGTGCAAATCTCTCCCTCCCCCAAAGTACACTTGGCTTGGTCTTTAACCCATCAAGTATCACTTAAATAATATTTTATAATCACTGCACAGACCAGTCTCCCTTTGAAACTCCTAAGTAGGACACTACAGCAAACCAGAACTGTCCTTTTTCTGAACATTCTAAGCCCATGGCTAAAAACTGATAAAATTTCACTTTGTAAAATTCCCATCTGACCATTAGCACAGGGACTGTGGTCTGGAAGCTTCTTGATTAAAAACCAATTCCTATTTCATAGACTATGGAACAACATTTTAACAACATCATAAAGCTAACTCCTTTTTTGTTAACACCTTCTGTGGCTTTTACCAAACCCATGGTTGTCAAAGAGTAAATTCTGCATGCTAGAACTAAACCCCATTTTTACCCTTCCACTTCATCAGAGCATCACCATGACTTTAAAACCACAAAATTTCAAAGTAGCACAGTTCAGCAGTCTCACAGCTCAATACAATCCCCTCTTCTATAAGCAAGAAATCTAGGACAACGAAATAATAGCTAAACCCTATTTCAGAGAGATGCTGCATGCTTTCAGAGTTTCCTATGTTTGAATTACAACAGTGTAACAACCTGATGTGACAAAGAACAATGTTTGTCTAGACCACCTGTGTATTGTAGAAATATGATCTCTCATTTCACTAATGAGTAATAAAAGCTGAACCAGGAAACAAATTATTGGAAATAGCTCAAAGCTCTGTCTTACATTTTAAATTAACTGGATGGGTTTTGAACATTGTAATTTGCAATGAATTTTAAGAAATAAGAGAGGTGAGCACATAGAAATGAAAAATAAATCTGATGTCAGTTAGCTTTTATTAACTTTCAAATCAGCAAGCAGTGAGTAAACTCAAAATCTGTTCTGCAAGATGTTGATTCAAATTTACAGAGACATGCAAAGAGTTCAGTGTTTGAGTCACCAAAACACTGTATTTCTGAAGAATCATGAATACAAGATCCCTGACTAATACACTATCATGAAACTGGCCTTTATCTTCTGCTTTTTCCTTCTGAAGCAGCCCAAGATTTTATCCCTATCATGACACTTCTTCCAATTCACTGTGTGTTTATTTTTTTTATTTTGACAGCAACACCTTACAGCAAGTAAGTAAATTTGAAAAGATTTTAGGATAATGCAACCTTTAGAGTTTAAAGTGCACAAACAATTTTCTGTAGAAGGGGGATGGGTAGGGGAAAATATGTTTAGAAAAAGATGATGGCCTTGAAAAGGCAGCAGATTCAGAGTAGCTACTGGCTTAACTGGCTTCATTGCTCCCCAGGCTCTACAAATATGAAGAAAACTAAGTCAGTGAAGTTTAGGAAAAACAAGAGCAGATAAGTAGTGGAAGGAGTTGAAAGCAAACAGTGAAAGGTACTTGGAAGACACAGTAAAATCAGGAATGCTTAGGATGACCAATGCTTCCTCCTAGTGCAATCCAAGCCCTCTGCCCCTGGGTAATCAGAGTGCAAAGACCTGTGAGTCTGGAGAAAAATCTCTCATATTCTGTTCCAAACACATTCACTCAGGGCATTACACTTAAAAGAATTAGCAAAGAGCAAGAATGTTGTGCTCCACAGATTTGTCACTGCCGAAGCAGAGGCAGCTGTTATCCTAAGAGTAGATGTCATGGCCAAATCCAGGGAGTAAGAAGGATCCACCAGAAAGAAGTCCTGGTAACACTGTCCAGAACCCCTCTGCACTCAAGGCACAAAGGTCTCTGCTATCTGGTAAAGGCAATAATCAAAAAAGGCCAGGGAAAAAATACAGGATACAGAGTTCACTTTATTTCTAAGGAGCTGTATGTGCTACATGCTTTGGCATAGCACCTTCACTGGCACCACCTCAAGGATGCACCAAGATAATAATTTACTCAGAGGATCCAAGAGAATGTCACCTATTCCTCCCTACAGAATATTTATTAGAATACTACAGAATTTTTGATAAATAAGAACTCCACACCAAATTGCAGGTGTCTCTTTGGTGGGGTAACTCTCATATTAGGACACAGAAGGAATCTCACACAAGTAACTTCTCCAGTAAAAAGAAATAAAGACCAAATTCCAAGCATCTGTTCAAAATTTCTGTGGAGTTTCAATTGGCTGTAGAATCAGATTGCATTCAATTAAGAAAACAGGCTCAGAATTCCTAAGAGGAAGATGATTTAACTTCACACATCTGAAAAGCAATCTGAAAACAGCTTTAGAGAACCTGGGTGTGAACCCACAGAATTTTTGATACCTACTTAAGTTTCTCTGAGGTGAGATAAAAGCCTTTGAAACAATGTGAGGGAAAACCTTCATAAAAAAATGGAAACAAGACCTTCACACCTACTTCTATAAATAGGCAAGAATACATGATAGACATGGAATAGACATGAAATACACCACACAAATACAACCTCTACTTGAAAACATGAATCTCTGTGAAGTTTGACCAAAAGATTTCAAGAGTCTGATATGCAAGTGGAAGAATATAATGTATGAACATTAAGGTGTATTTTGAAATGAAAATTCAAAACTTACAAGGAATGCAGAAACAGAAGCATGAATGCCTTCAAAGAGGCGAGAAACAAACTGACCCAAGTAAAAGTCTCTTCATACCCTCAGACAGAAAAGTGAAGCACTGCAAGACCTGACTAGCATAAAATCGGGAAGAACCCAGCCAAAGAATGTGCCCAGGAAAAGGGAGAACAGGAAAAGAGAAAAAGTTATCTTCAGCAATATACTTTTATTTAAAACCACAGCAGCAATCAGCCTTTGTGTTTCTAAGGAAACTGAAAAAGACAAGTAAACAAACCAAGCCTGAGCTTTGCAAGTTAACACAAGCATTGCCACCATAGAACAATAAGGAAGAAGAGAGAAAAGACAAACAAACGGCTATTCAAAGCATTTTAACAAAAGGTAACTCTTCGGTCACATGAAACACACTAGACTTCATGGCAAGGACTCCACAAAGTGTCTCTAACTTACCATGCAAACCTGTAGCAAAAGAAGTAAGAAAGCTTTAAGATGTGAAGTAAGAGTTTTGTTTTCCCAAGTTAGCCATCTTGCAAAAACTCTCAAGCTTCTGAGGGCATCATTTTTATTTACAGAATCCTTTCTACTTCAAAATGTATTTATAAATGTTCTGGCAGAAAATACAGGCATGCTGAAATTTCTAGCTGTGGTCAAATTTGGAATGCTTGAAGATGTTACTCAGCTCTGTTACACATCTAGGCAAACAGTTAAAATGCTCGGCTTTCAATGAACATGAAAGAACATTCCATCCATCTTTGATACAGTTTTGGCCATGGCTTTTTTGCAACTTCTAAAACAAATTCAAAGTCTACAGGCACTTCTTTCCACATACTGTAATTTTAGAAGTTATTTTTCTGTGAGAATTTCATGACAATCAATAATCTATGAGTCGCATCCCTTTCAATTACATGAGCAAAAATGTTGTTAGACAACACCTCTGTCACAAATTACTGTTGCTCACTCTGCATCATAGTAATGCTTTTAACTGGAATTAACAACTTCCAGTTCATTACCCATTAGAAGTCCATCTATGGTGACTGCCTCAATACATCAAGGATGCTTCTCCTTGAAAGAGAAATCCTCGGGACTAAGACTGTATATTCAAAAGTCCTAACTACTAGGAAAATAATCATTAAAAAAAAAAAATAAAACAATTTTTCAAGAAAAAGGCTATTTCACTACAAAATTTTGTTGACAACCACAGAAACACACTGCTTGAGTATAATAGGTCCAAAACATTCTTTGCACGGATCCACAACAACAACATGCAAAATAAACTGAGCAATTTCAATAGCAAGGAGACTGGAACCCAAAATGTGACATCTGGTTCCCCATCAATCATATTAATTCCCAATTCAAATGGTGTTCATAAAGAATGTTCTACTAAAGTCAGACAAAGAAACAAATACTCTACATATATATTAGTAAAGGAGTACACTCAATTTCGAAACAATTTGAAATCTTCATCATTGTTTCCAACCACTGTATGTTCCTAGTACCTGATCAGTAGACTTCATTAAGTGCTCTTTAGTCAAAGAAAAGCTTGAAACTGCATAATTTTCTCATAGCCACACAAAAATGCAAATCAACACGTGGTTTTGCTGAAAACAGCACATTTTAAGTGGGTTGTATGGGGTCTCCTCCCCCAACAAAAAAAAAAGCTGTTTAATAATTTCATCGTGTTTCAAGAAACATCCAGGCATCATATGGTGACTGATAGCAGGAATGCAAAAATTAACAGTACTGCAGTAATGTCTCTGTGGAAGTAAAGAGAGTAAATAATGAGTCTTATTAAATACCTTGTCAGAGCATTTCATTACCAAAGGCTGACAGAAGTAACACATGCACTTGTTTCTCGGCAATACCAGAGTTATCAAACTACAAAACATACCTGCCTTAATAATAAGGCAGGTATCAAACACAGCATCAAATACAGCTGATGCTCATGAAGACCAGCACAGTTGTTTTAACAATAATCTGTGTCAGTCTTGTTCCTTTGCAAAAGAAATTCACCTTTTCCTTTACTTAACTATTACCATTATTATTGTATTCACAGAACAGCATTTCACTTGAGAGTTGCAAAGTCCAACAAAGAAAAGATATTCTTTCTGCACTTAGAGCCTGGAAAATAAAACACAGGCAGCATACCACAAGCAAACTGTCAGCTTGCTCATAAAAGATCAAGAGCAACTCTTGTGCCTCAACAACTCTTTGAAGTGATGCCTTTTGGATGAACTGCAATCATCTGAACAGGAGTTCTGTAATTGAGCGGAACTGAGGAAAAAATTCATCTTTTGTGAGATTTCCATGAAAAGATTTGTGCCTTGCAAAGATTACAAATGTTTGGAATACAGCATTAAAACTCTGAAAGAACAGTAAAAGTGATTAAATATTTCAGATAAACTCATGGCAATGTGTCCTACAGAACCCAAAATATCAAGAAGTTACAGGCAGTATACTTTACAATGAAATCTGTTATCATTTAATACAATATTCTGTTGTTCTGCATCTTCATTTGTGTTACAGGGAGACAAGAACACAAACAGTTTCACAGATCTTTGTTATTTATTTGCCAACTTCAAATGCTAAAACACATTGCTTATACTAAAGTTTAAACAAAAGGGAGTGACAGCTCACTAGAGACTGTCAACACAAACTTATATTTTTGCTCATAAAATCTTGCAATTAATGAGAAAAACTATTCTGATGGCTTTGTCAACTTGCCACATGTAGTTTGTTTTCCAAAGAGCAACAGAAAAAACACCAGTGCTAAAGCAGAAAATGCAGCTCCAGAAGTGTCAGAAGGTAGTGCTCAGAACGAGTTATGAGCAGATACAAACTGTTCCATATTTTGGAAGCTGAAAGTTTAACACTTGGGAGTTTCTCATACCAGATTCAAAAAACTGCAAGCCACATCATTTTCTGGTTTGGGTATAAATTTGACTTCCCCTCAATGTAACTGCATAACTACTTTAATCTAGAAGAAGGCCAAATCCCAAACTCAGTACTCCCTATTCCAGCAACAGACAGAACCTTCAACTAAGAAATTATATAAATCACTTAATGAACAAATGAAAGCAAATAATTACATTAATTACATTGACTGCACTACAACCTGAGCAAAATAACATTTTATATTAAGAACAGGAAAAAGGAAAAAAAAAGGTTTTGTGCAACAGAACACATAAAATACTACCTAAGACTGTTGCCAAACTAGAAAGGGGAATGACAGCAGGCATCAGCACAGTAGTAGCAAGACAGATAAGGAGAAAAAAGTTTCTGACTGGAGTAATTGGAAAAAACTTTTTCATCTTAGAGACATTGTTATTATATTTCTAGAGTCCCATACCTTCTGGACAGTTTTCTCACACACAGCTCTTCACAGCAGTGCTGTTCCTGCTTCTTCATCAGGGCTCCTCCAAGGCTCTCCCTGACCAGCCAGCCCACCCCCTTTTATCCCAGTTATCTTCACTGGCCACAGCTGCAGCCCATTTAGAACAACTAGGACTGGGGCAAGGCCTCTTACACAACACATGGATTTTACCATGGCTCAAAGGCCACCTCTACTATATTTCCCCCTTTTTGTTTACTTACAGGAACAGATTTTACATAGACATATTTACATATTCTACAATACATACCTTTCACTGTGACTCAAAGGCCACCTGTATTTCCCCAACACAATACATATATTTTACTTACGACTCAAAGGCCACATTACAATACAGACATTTTCCCATGACTCAAAGGCCATTTACAACACACACAGCTCCTTGCTCAAAGGCCATATTATCACAGCTCCTGGCTGTCACTGCTCCTAAACTCAAAGGCCATGTTCTTCTACAGCTCTCAGCTATCCTACCCTCCATTGTTTTTGTTACATTTCTAGAGCCCCAGCTCTCAGGCTGCCACAGCTCTTGGCTGTCCTATCTTCTATCACATCGGGGGTCACCACTTGTTGTTATTCTATTTCTGGAGTCCCGCTCCTTCTGGGTGGTTTTCTCACACACAGCTCTTCCCAGCAGTGTTGCTCCTGCTTCTTCATCAGGGCTCCTCCAAGGCTCTCCCTGACCAGCCAACCCACCCCTTTTATCCCCGTTATCTTCATTAGCCACAGCTGCCACCCAATTAAGGACATCACAGCTGCAGCCCATTTAGAACAGCTAGGATTGGGGCAAAGTCACTTATACAATATATAGATTTTACTATGGCTCAAAGGCCACCTCTACTATAAGACATAACTTGTTCTACAGAAGCTACTTCTGAGTATTCAAATCTACTAAAGAAAAAGAAAAGTCTCTTGGGGACAACGAAAACATACAAACTATTTAGTCCAGACACAGCTGCAAAGAGATCTGCAACTGTTCGGTTAAGCTTCTCAAAGTATGTTTTTCTCTGTAGCTCAGGAACACGATAAAAATCACAACTCAAAGTAGATTTTTATTTTTGTTTTCCACTGAGGAGGGAGCTGACACACAAACCAGTCTCATGGCGTGAGAGCAGCCTCAGTGAGCTTAGGGAAGTGCATGGTAAATAATCCCATTAGAGATAGTTGCTGCTTTCTGTGAGCTACACTCTAATGTGTAAGATAACACATGAAAGCATATTTGAACAGCTCAGGGAGACCCACAGGAGGGCTGAAAGCCAAGGCACTTGCCAAGTTCACAGTGTGACTGAAGCCTGGCTCCCAGTCAGCATGTCTAACACATACTGAAGTATGCACTGACTGCCTGCCTTACGCCAGCCCCACCACGTACATTAATGAACACTTTCCCAACATCTGGATAAGAAAAACCACTGCTAATCCTCTTGGAATACTACCATAAATTCCAAGTGCAGGAAATTATTTTTACAGCACAACACTTACCTTGCTTTCCTTTTTTTTTTTTTTTTACTAATAAAGTTGGAGAGGAAAAAGCAATTACAACTTACAGGAGAAGAAGAATACCTGTTTCCATCATTACTGTCATGAGTGATTAGTGGATCTGGGATAATGACCAAACTGCTTCATTTACCACCCAGAAATGTTTAGCTTTACTCACTTCTACATTATTTCATGGGGACCTTCACTGTGGCAGATGCTATAAAAACCTCATCACTCTAAAATTCACTTTTCCAAAAACCTCACCAGCAGCTGCTCATCAAGATGTTCTATCTTAATTAACAAGTACTGTTTTGAAATAAAAACATTACTGGCCTATTTCTCTACACATATTTTGTCACAATAATCAGAACCAGTAGGATGTATTTTCCCTCTCTAAGAAGCAAAGCCAGAACAACCTGTCTGTACTCAGCAAGCCAGAAATGAAGTTCCTTACAAAGTGTTCAATAAGTCTTTAATTACTGCATTTATTCTTAAAGGTTAAAGACTATCTGATAAGGCATACTTAAAATGACAACCAAATTGCATCAACTAGAAAACTTTTATTCAGTCTGCATTTTTATACAGCACTTAAACACATTTACACCAAAATACAGTGGAAAAGCAAAAGATAAAATTAGTGTAGTACAAAAAATTCCACTGAGATTGCCCATTTAATACCCCCTTACAGAAAGTTTTGGCAAGATTTACCCAAGAGATGTATTTCCTACTAGTCAGAAATTCATACCTCTAATTCTATAAGTGCTGCAGTCACTGCATCTGTTGCAAGAGCACCAGCCTGTAGCTTTTCAATTGCCTGGAAAACACAAGTTTTAGCTGATGATTAGGAAATTCTATTATTCTCTGACTGAGTCCTACATTTTCCTATTCCTGTATAAAATAAAACTTTCACCAAATTAGTTTAAAATGTAAGAGGGTGTAAGAACAAGAGGCACTGGAAAAAGTCAGTATGAACCATATGAGGGCAGATCTGAAGATATGATTTTAGTACTATGACATTGTGACACTGCATTTAGTAGCAGATTTCTGCATAGTCAAATTTCTGTCAAAATAACTTTTTATACTTTATATCCTCTAACACCAAATGTTTCAGTCAACAAGTTTCAATTTTTCCTTCCAAGACTCAACAAAAATTTCTAGTACCATATATAGCAATTACCGTAAAATTGAAGAGAACTTCACAAACTCATTTAAAGCAAACACAAATCATGTAAAATAATGTTACCTTCAAATTATATACAACAGTGAACTTGTAGAGGCTAACAGTATTTATTAGCTCCATACTGAACAAGACCTTACAGTCAAGCTTTCTCAGGGAACCCCAGAAAACTACTATGGCTGCAAGACATAAAGGCTGAAATTGTTTGTTCTTCACAGAAGTTATTGATGTTGGCTACACAGCTCAAGAGTAGCTACACAGAATCTCAAATTGGACTTCAATGCAACAGCAGATCTCACATAACTAGCTGGGAAATGACTTTCACCAAGGCTAAAAAAGCCAGTGCTAAGTTTGAGTGATTTGTGAGGCCTCTCATTACAAAATTAGATTGGTATTAGGATTGAGCAACAAACTGTAACACAAAGTGATAATTATCAGACACCAACTCTGAGGCTCCTCTAAAAATCCTGCCAAGCTCCCAAGCTCCTTCTCCCTGGAGAAAGCAAAAGACATTAACAATTTTAGAGAGAGGTCTTCCAGCTACTCATTCAACATTTAAAAGACAAGACTTGCCGGTTCCAAAGCAAAGTTCTTGGAAGAGATGAAAACATATTCATTTCAATGGAAATCAAAGTCTTGCCATTTCTCTGTTTCCAATTTTGATTTTTTTGTTTTTGTTTTTCCTGTTTCTACCTCCCTTCCTATTAAGAGGGTAAGAGCTATCAAGAATAAAATAATTATAGAAACTCCTTCATGCACACAGCAACCTGGATGGTAGAGTTTAAATAAACTCCAAAGAGTGGACATGGAAGAAATCAATATAGAGACAGAACACTTAGCTCCAGAAATCCTGGAGAAGTGCAGGAAGCTGTAGGAATACTTCTTGTAGGTACCACTGTGACCTTCTCTTGCTCTCCCACTGTTCATTTGGTGTCTGCTATTTGCCAGCACTGATGAGAATGTTGCTGCATCTCATGGCCACTCACTGTCCTGTCTCTGTATCATCTTAACTCTGTTTCTGCTCTGTTTTCCCTCATCTCCTTCAATAAACACATAGAGCCCAAGCAGCTAAGTGCAGCTATTTCCTGTGTCCCCAGCACAGGACAGTGGAGCTGGTGACATTTACCTTCTGGCAGGCTCTTTTGCACACATGCTTGTACTCTTTAGCTTTGGATTCAGAATGATAACCTGCACCTGCAATTGAAACAAAAGGAAAATCTATTATAGTAGCTGGCAAACTCCAGCCTGTAGCTCACATAAGAGATTTAAGACACAGGCAGATATAGTGTTCCTTATTCTGGATTACCTTGGCATTTCCTTTTGCTATCAGTGATTGACAATTTTATGCATTCCAACACAGAATTAAACACACTCAGTAAAATACAGGATACAGATCATATATCCAGAAGTACGCAGGTATAAATACCAGCATCAATCTTTTCCTATAAAAACTTTCCAAGAGATTCCAGTTTCACTCACTCTTGGAGGATTTCCAGCATAGCTTTTTTCTTTACTGTCCATTATTGGGCAAAACCCTCATTTTTAAGTCAAATTGTTGATTTTCTTTTTTCCACAATTCTGCTCATTTTCTCATGTTTATGCTATGTTTTTAGAGCTTGTTAGTCCTGACTTAGAACAAGGAGTTCCTTCAAATGAAGACATTTCAGATTTTTCACCTTTTTCTCATTCTCAGTCTTTGTATCTCTCCCACTGTATTGAACCATTCTGCCCTACTTTGAAGCCACTGCCCCTACTTGCATAGCTGAAAAGTTTATCAATGCCACCATTCAAGTAAATGCAGCATCAGAAAAACAAGAGTGGAGCATATACTTAAAATCTACTACTGTTTTACCAGGTTTTGCACTTAAAAATGTGCTTGTATTTATCTCAAGTTCACTTTACTCACCTTTAGAAATATTAGTTTTGAGGAACTCTAATAAAATAAGCTTTAACACCAATACCAAAGTGACGCAGTAAAGGACACTATATTGAGCAATTTCATTTGCTCTTAAAATAGAATTCACATCAAACATCAATCCAGAATAAATTGTTTAAGGTTTGGGGCTGGTTTTTTAACCTTAATGATTTTATAAAGCAAGTAACATGTTGGCTTTTCAAATATTTTAGGCATGACCAGGCCACTTTGCTCTATTTCACCTCATGTACTCACACAGATGCTCAAAACAAATATACACCCAGATATAAGGATTGTTTACTTCATGATTCATGGTATTTAATAAAGAATCTATGAAAAAAGAATTTATGAGCAAGACACACATAACACATAATTTCTGTATTAGATCTGAGTAGAGGAGTCCTTCATTACATGTGGAAAGAACAAACAGTAACTCACTTAAATAAGAATAAGATCAGAAAAATAGACTCAGAAGAAATGTCTGAAGGGTAAAAAGATATCTGCAACAAACAGTCCAAGCAGATTTCAGAAGGTCTTAGCTGGACTGTCCACATAGACAAGCTTGACAAGGAACCATCAGCAGTGAAAGGACTGTATTTGATCCTTCCATAGGTAAAGAAACAGACTGAAATATCTCCCTCATTTTGTAGGTTTGCCAAGCTTAGCAGACAAGTACAGAATACCACATTTTATAGTCATTTACATTTAGGGGTTTTCTTTGTCAAGGAGAACAAAAACACCGTCCAGAACAACCAAAGAACTACATTTTGATTAAGAGTTTCCAGTGCAACCTCTAATCAAACTCCTCATTCTGAGATGTGAACACACAGTTAATGTCACTTTATTAGCACACTAGTAGTCACTATAAAATTTTTGTTGCTATCTAGTTTGATACCAAAATATGCATTATTTCCATTGCAGCTGTTGTGATTCCACACCTTACCTGCATGGACAAGCACAAATCCCACTCGTTTCCCTCTTTGGGTTTGCTTTGTTTCGGGCTCTTTGACCACCACTTTTACAGCTGTAACCTGAGATGATTTGGAAGGTAACACTTCTACTGAACTTATCCCCTTCTCCATGGTCACACATTGGGATCACCATCTTCTACTGGGAAGGAGCACACTTCCATTCAAAAATAAACTCTGGAGAGAAATCATCCTAAAACCAGATCAGATACATATGTTAGACACTGACTTCAAGAGATGAATTTCACACAAATAACCAAATCCCAAAGAACTTTAGGAAGAGAAGTCTGAACCAAGGGGAACACACCTCTCCAAAGCAGGGTTTCCAAGTTCTGCCTCTTCCCTAGCCAACAGCATTAATGAGACCTGAAATAATCAAAGTTCATGCTGCAAACTGAAAGCAGCCCTTTCACTCCAACATAACTTGAACCTAATGATCTTGCCAGACACTGGAAGGAACTGCTAATATAAGTTTTGTTTTCCATGGTGGCCTGTTCTCCAACAATACAACTAATTTCTCCAGCCACCACATCTAACTGGCACATGAGTAACCTTGAAACCACCACACTTTTTCCTTTCTATGCAGGGAACACATGTTTAAGATCCTATAATGAACTCCTAGTCTTCTATACTGTTTCATCCCATCTCCTTATAATTCCCCACTAGTTTGCAGCAGGAAAAGAAAAAAATAGATTACCTTTTTTTTAATGACAAATTATTTCTAAAACAAAACCCAGCCTAAAACAGTCAAATAATGTTTGTCTGGGTAAGTAGAGCTACCACGATTACTAGTAAACCTCAACGTGCTTAAGTCAAGCTCAAATAATTTAGTAACTCTGCTGGTTTTGATGGTTACCCTTAAGATGCTAAGGAAATTAATGTTTATGGAAAGCTAATGGAAATATTGTCAGTATTGTCTAGTACATGAAACAAAAATAACAATATAGAATGATGTATTTATCAGGAGTTGCCAAACAAACTGTCTGTGTTTACTACTGCTCTTATCCACAGTTTACTACATATTAATCCTGGCACAAAAACATTTGTCTACTTCAGAAGGTAAAACAGAGGCATTCCACACACTGAATTACTTAAGAAAGTGAAAGCATGTAGTGCTAATGGAGAAAACCTCTGTGATATATTAAGATAGTTTATACATTAAGAACTAGATGAATTTTAAGGTCCCTTCCAATCCAAACCATTCTCTGACTCTCCACCTCTATCTTCCAGTATAACACTGGAAGGTGAACAGAGAGGAAAATGAGATGCTTAATGTATAAGACTTAAACCACTGACTCTTGAAATGCTATCTGGCTGACTCCAGCAATTAAATACCACGCCATTTAAATGGCCCAAACAATGTAAATGATGTTTACCAAGATTCAGCACTGCCACAGAACAAACCAGCTGGTTTGCCATAACTACTCTTTTGATAAGAAGAATCAGCACAGCTCTGGAGGAAGTCACTTATTCACTATAATTTCTTCCCAAATACTAAACATACCTAGTAATCTGCATACACTTATAAATTTACTTTTCAAAATTAAATATGAACTTAATGTTATAATTATATATGTCCTGAGAAAAAATGAAAGGCTACTATAATACATAGGTTCTATAGAGAGAAAGTGTTTATGGATTGCATCCAATTGTAATTGTCACTTGAAAAAATTTCAGAGCTAAGATTAAAGTACTCATCACTGCATTTACTTCCTTTTTATCAATAATAGTAAAGATGGCTCCAGCAACCATTGGTCCTCTTTGCTACACCCTACAGAAAATCACTCTTGCAACAAGGGCACAGCACAGACTTCAGTAAACAGACAGAGGAGCAAGTAAGGAATTTAAACTCTCCCAGGAATGGAAGAAATAGCGTGGTAGTAGGTAAAGCAATCATGACGATAAAATAGCTTTTTAAAATTAAGATGGAGATGTCACTTGAAGACTTGCTAACAGTGTAGCTGCAGGCTGAAAATCCTCACTAGGCCTTTGCACAGAGCTGGGTCTAAGGATGTGTTTATTTCTACAGAGAACATGCAGACAACCCGTCTCTCTCGTTTGCTTCCGTCTGTAACACTTCCTCCACACCAACTCAATTTTCTCCAACACCTCCCATCTCAAACTGCTCTTCAACTCCTTTCACATTCCATTCACAAACCCGCTGCTTCCACTTGTTAAGCTCCCACTGGACCCAACTTTTCCCTTCCAGGCCTCTTCTAGGATTTATCAGCTCTCCCTCCTGAACTGTCATACTTCTACCGCTCTTGACTCCATCCCTCCCTGCTACCCATTTCCTGCTCCCCATCGGTGCAGCGCCAGGAACGGTGGGAGAACACACAACAGCGTGACCGCTGGAGAGCGGCAACCGAAACCATTTGACCCAAACAGCCCCGAGCGCACTGCAAAGGCGCTCGGACTCCTGCATGGGCGCTGGGAGAACACAGACACGCGCGAGGGCCAGGTCGGGTCGGGTCGGGTCGAGGCATCCCCTCCCGCGCCTCCATCCCGATCCCGCTCCCGGCGCCGCGCCGCTCCCGCCGCCCAGCCCATGACGTCACGCAGGACAGTGACGTCACGCGGGCAGCCCCACCGGCAGACGCGCGGCACGGCCCAGGCCCGCTGCCGGCCCGCGCAGCGCCGCGGGCAGAGAGGCCGAGCCGGGGGAGGCGGCAGCGGCGCGACGGGACAGCCCCGCCACGGCGCCGCACTCACCCTGCACCGCCGCCATCCGGGACCGCCCGCTCGCCCGCCCGTTGCCTCGGTGAGCGTGAGGCGTCCCGCCCCCGCCCCGCGCCCATTGGCCGGGCCGCGCCCCGCGGCCGGAAGTAGCGGCGCTGATGATTGGCGTTCCGCAGGGCCAATGGCGCCCCCTGGGACGGGCATGGCGGGTCCCGGGCCGGGACAGCGCTCCCGTTCCGGTCCCGCTGCGCGATCGGTGCCAGGCACGGCTCCGGGCAAAGCAGCGCGGCCCCACAGATGCCATCTGTGTCTCAGGGCGTGGATGGTAACCTCCGGTATTGTTACCGTGAGCCTCAGGGCAATATATACATATATATATGTGTGTGTGTGTGTGTATTTGTATATATATGTGTGTATATATATATGTAATGTATGTATGTATGTATATATATGTATATGTATGTATATATATGTATATATATGTATATATAATATCAATGTGCGTATATATCGTATCGATATATAATCAATATACATGTCATAGAATATGTAACGTACCTCTATATCTATGCAATATATATATCATATATATCATATATGAATCATACAATATGCAATATATGTATTATATATATATCATACAAAAATACAAATGTAAAACATGCTACATACCCATATATCAATATACATATTTCTATCAATATGCAGATACAGTTTATCAATATACATATATGAAATACATCTATATATCAACATACAATGTAGGTATTGATCATACATTATGCAATATATATATGATATGTATATACCATACAAATATACTAATATATAAATATGCTACATACCCATCTATCATATCAATACACATATTTCTATCAATATGTAGATACAGTTTATCAATATACAGGTATATCATCCAATATGCAATACATCTATATATTGGTGTAGATATATATCATGCAATATGCAATTTACATATATTAATATGCAATGTGCATATGTATCATATCACTACACATATATGTAACACAGTATGCACTATGTAATACAATATACAATATACAATATACACATATTCATATATATATCTACACATGTGACTTCTGACAGCTGTTCAAAACTAACCTTATTGATTAAAAATACATATATTTCTTAATAGACTTGCTAGGAAATTCTCACAACAATCAGATATTTTACATCCTTCTGCTTCAATGAACATTTAACTATTGTGTTCTGCTAGAGACAAGTTTTTATTAATTTCTGTCCACTTTGTTGTAGAGGTGGTGTAGAGAACCTGTTGTTTGCTGAAGCTGCCTTCCCAGGATCAAGGACAGCTGTACATGAATCCCATGTCCATGACACCTTCTCTGATGGTCACTGTCATCAGTCCTGGGAACCAGCTGTGTGTGTGTGAGACACTTCATTATCCCAGTCCATGCTGTCCGCACTTCCAGCCTGTTGCTCCTCTTCTTCGTAGAACCATGAAATGAGTCCAGATCGCCTTACAGATTTACTTATATTGTAAATTTATTTTAGCTGACGCCTCAAATTCTCATTTGCAAAGCTCGGCCTTTTAAAGTCGAAACTCTAAAGCTTTTATTACATCAAGACAAGGTTGTTCTGTTTGCAGAATTCACTTAATCTCTTGCTCAAGATGCAGATGAGAAGTGAAAGGATATATATTATACAAAAGATTATCCTGACCCCTCTAGATGAACAAGATTTTAAGTCCTCGGTTTTGTTTTCCCAGGAATAAGTCCAGTATGTAGCTTGGAATATTAACCGTATTACACTGGCTCTTGCAACAGTGAACAGTATCATTCATTCTCTGCAAAGAACCTGTCAGACAATCACCTGCTTCAGCCAAACTACAATTTTTGAAAATAAAATTTCTATGGTACTCTCTGACAATGAACTCATTCACTGCTAATAAAGGGAGTCTTTCTAATAAACCATTTTAATAACAATGAAATCTGTAAGGGTAATGTTGCAGTATATTGCACGATGTGCCTAGCAGGTGTTGTTTTCTCAGTCAGAGAAAAGCGCTGCCTCCTCATCCAAGTCCTTCCACACGTGGTTGTTCCTTCCCCTCTGGAGCGCGTCCCCCCGCAGGCAGCGCTGCCGCAGGTGCCTCAGGAAGCCCTTGATGGAGGCAGAGTTCTCCTTCTGGCGACCGATCGGCTCCTCATTGAGGGGGGAGCGCTCAGCCAGGCAGCAGGTCCTTGGCCAGGCTGAACGTGTCCAGCTCTTCTCCTGGGAGACACAGGGCAGGGAGCACGATGACGGGGGCAGAGGGGCTGCAGGGGCTGGGCCCCCTCGGGCTCTCCTGGGGCCTGGCTGGGCTGCCCCAGGCTGCAGGCTGGGTGGGGAGGATGTCAGGAAAGCTCT